ACCAAACGTCTATCGTCCTGATCTCTCCTCTTTCTTTTTTGTGTTTGTGACTCTCTTGCAACACCTAATCTTCGGCACTTATATGACCTTATTGTGTTGCATGTGCCGTGAAACTCTTACTAAAACAAAAAAAAAAAAAGGTACATATTCCTTAGGCGTTACAAATTATATTACTATCCCAGCACACCCAAGGGCACTAAAAAATATTCTTGACTTCCTGGAAACGTACGGTGTAAGCAGCCAATTTAAGCAAACATTAACAAACTGACAAGATCTTTGGCCGTTTATAGTCGGGTTCCCACCCATTCCCACCTTGGTGAACTGAGGAAAATTCCTGTAAAGTGCTTTTCCCAAAGACACAATGTCAGGCCATCAATGGGGTTCGAGCCCATGGCCTTTCTGACTTTGAGTTGCGAGCCTGACAGCCTAACCAAAAGACCACATGTGCCTTCATTCCTCCCTGTCAGTCATAGTTCCTTTAGGTAAGATGCCATACATGTGATGGTCAATAGTTCCTTTAGGTAAGATGCCATACATGTGATGGTCAATAGTTCCTTTAGGTAAGATGCCATACATGTGATGGTCAATAGTTCTTTTAGTAGGTAAGATGCCATACATGTGATGGTCAATAGTTCCTTTAGGTAAAATGCCATACATGTGATGGTCAATAGTCCCTTTAGTAGGTAAGATGCCATACATGTGATGGTCAATAGTTCCTTTAGTAGGTAAGATGCCATACATGTGATGGTCAATATTTCCTTTAGTAGGTAAGATGCCATACATGTGATGGTCAATAGTTCCTTAAGTAGGTAAGATGCCATACATGTGATGGTCAATAGTTCCTTTAGTAGGTAAGATGCCATACATGTGATGGTCAATAGTTCTTTTAGGTATGATGCCATACATGTGATGTCTGCTGGTATTTGATTTCCCATCTGTTGAGCCCCCTCAAGCATGTCAGAAATCTACCCCTGTATTATAGGAGCCCAACTTTGAGAAATGGACGGATATTTGGGTCAAAGTGTACCCCTTGTATTAAACTGGGTGTCTTGTTGTAGGTGAGTCTGTACAGTATAGTGTATTTTTTTCCACTTTAGCTTCGTGCAGTGTTAACTTTGTGGTTTTTGCTCTCAGGACAGACTACTTCAAGGAGAAAACTTCAAACAAGAAGAAGGACGCGAAGCCTCCCAAGCCTGGGAAACCGTAAGTGCAAAAAAACCCCTTTCTGCTCTTATTTACACCCCAACCGGCACCAGCATAATTTAAATAATTTTGGAGACAGGCTTCAACCCTGCCTATCAGGGCCAGGCCAGGCCAGGCCAGTTCAGGCTGAGAAAGATGATACAACATCGTAACAAGAAGACTGGGATACTCGAAGTTCTCCCCACCAGATAATTAAACTCGGGTCTCCGGTGTGTGTGGCAGCAAAGCATCTAATTGCTACACCACAGGTGCCAGTCCTCGAGTACTGTTCCTGTGGCTGTATTTAGACCTTATGCTGCTCTGGTGTGGTTTGCTCCATCTTTCCTATCAAGCATTTATCGTCCTGATCTCTCTTCTGTTTTATTACGTTTGTTACTCTCTTGTAACACCTAATCTTCGGCACTTATATTACCTTATTGTGTTGCAAGTGCCGTAAAACACTAACGAAAGCAAAAAAAAAAGACCTTATGTCTCTGTAAATCTGGATTAGAGATTATGTCATTGAAGAAATGTTTCTTTTCACTTTTAGTTATGGCGCTAAATGTGGGCATTTCTGAGCAAAAGTAAAGTGAGGTTCTGGGAAATGAGAAACAAATTGTCAGCAATGATGTATTTTTTCTTCTTCGATTTCCTACCCTCACAGTATGAGTATTTTCACAGTGATGATTTTTTTTCTCTTTGTATTTTTTTTTTCTTCAATTTCCTACCCTCACAGTATGAGTTTTTTCACAGTGATGATTTTTTTCTCTTTACCCTGAGCAAACGTTACTTTGTAAGTTTTGATATGATGGAACTCGTTGGTAAGTGTTTGGTATGAAAGTTTCACCAAGTACTAAAGAATGAGCTATGCTACTATTGCTCTGAGTCAGTATGTGTGCAGAGAAAGAGTGGAGTTCACCTGAAAATGGCGACTTGCTAGCACTGGTATTTGTTTCATCAGAAACAGATTTTGTCTAATGTGTTTTTTAAAAAGTTTTTTTTTCCCTGCCCATTTCTATCATCTGGCGCTTTTATGTTTAGCAATAACAACAAACTGTGCTGCATTTTGAGTTTTGATATTAGCTGTTAGTCTTGGAGTAAACACACAGGAAAATGTTTGACATATAAATAAATACATTAATAAATAAGTAAATACATAATATGTTTCTTCACTCTTATAACGTTTTTTTGTGAAGTTCCACATCTAAGTGTTGCCGTACCCCCAACTGGAGATGCCTATCACAACTGGTTTGTAGTTAAATTGTTTAGATCATGGTAGTCGTACATTCATCAGCTCTTTCGAGTCACGAGGTGGGCACCCTCTGTCTTGCTCCCTATTGGATTGTCTAATGTGTTCTTTTCTGTGCGAAATAGTTTGTAATCGTTCAGTTAATATTTGATCTATAAATGAAATTTGTTCTTTTTTTTTTTCTTTTTCAGACCAGTAGAGGAGACGAAAGAGACTGATGAAGAGGTAAGGTTATTGGCACTCACTCAAGTCATGTTTTTTCTTTTGTCTGTTATTAAACTCGTGTTAACACACGCAGACAGTCATGCACACATTGACACACTTACAAACGCATGTCTGTTTGAGCCGTTCAGGTTCACACAAATCAGTCATTAAGGTTTATGAGAACCTTCTTAGTTTCAGCCTATTTGATGCCCCCCGGGGCGATGCCACTGACTGAGTGTCTTTAGGCCATTCCCAAAGGGGGGACGTTTCTCGTTCTTATGCACAGTAGAATTGTAAATGGATGGATCTAACAATGTCATGCTCGTAACTGTGCCTGAACTTCGACAGGGAACTGCTGCTTATTCTTTCATAATCCTTACTATCGTCTCTTTCCCGTACTTCTTTTGTATGTTTGTCACACTTTTGTGACCCGCTATTTCCGGGATGCCTTGATAGTCGAAGCAGACTTTGTGCTGTTGAAGCTAGAGAGGTGAGCAGAGTAAGTCTGATTCCCTGTAAGGATTTCTCTGTTAACATCCACTCCTTGGCACTGGTATGACCTTATGCAGTTGCGAGCGCCGTAAAACCTCTACTGAAAAATAAAAAAGCTTTATTTGACTTTATTGCCTATGATTTGATCTCTACCTGTGATTTTTGCGTAAGGGGCTCAAATTACGTGATAGAACCTCTGCTGTATTTTGCTGAGGACCTGAGTATTCTGTTATTGATTGGATGTTTATGTAAATGTTTTTCAAAGTGCTTTTTGGCCTACTAGAATTGTGCCATTACTTATCCAGTGTTGGGATGTCAGTGATTGATCAGACATCTCTGTGTTTTTGTTGGAATTTTCTCCTCAGCATTGACGTCTCTTCACTATATCTTCACTATATGGTATCAGTATTGACTTAAAACACAAGCACAAGCTGAAAATGTTGAGATTTTAAAAAAAAATTGGTATCATTTTTTTTTTCTTTCTGCAGAAAGCGAAGACACAGATGACGAAGAACGCAGTCCTGTTTTTCAAGGGACTCAACACAGAAACCACTCGTGAAGAGATCAAAAACTTTTTCTCCGATCATGCGGAAGTTGGCTGGGTGGACTTTGACAAAGGAAAAGCAGAGGTCAGTTACCGAGGAGCGCTGTTAGTGGAGAAGTTTTTTATGAAAATGTTTGCCCACAACGGTAAATGTTAACCCCATCGTGACAGTTCAGGTACACCTAATGTGGAACAGTATGAGCCAAGATGCCATCTCCCAACATTTGCTCGAAGGAGAGGAAGCTCCTTTTTGCGTGGCGTGCAACACAAATTTCACAGTTCGGCACATCCTAACGGAATGTGTCGAATTTAATTATGTTCGTGAGAAATATTTTAAATGTAAAGATATTAAGACCCTTTTTGACATCATAGAGCCTAGAAAAATTTTAAGTTATATAAAAGAAATTGTACTATTTATTAGAATATGAAAACATATAGTTATCGTTATTGGTGTATATATACATACACTGAAATTCATATTGTATATATACAAATGTAAATAAGCCTTTTCCATATTTACAAAAAATTTTTTATAAATGTTTGTTCGTCTTTTTAGCATAATGGAAATAGTGTGATTGTTTGCGGTTGCGAGCTCCGAAAGACTCTTACTAAAAACACGTCTGATTTTGTAGCGGTGAAACCTGTTGGCGCTTAAATGACCAAAATTGTGTCGATAGTGCCGTAAAACATCTACCCAATCAATCAATCAACCATACAGTGTACGTCTTAAAATGCAACATACATTATTTTATAACTGTCCTACAATAACTTTGAACTGAATTTTTCAGGAAAACTGATTAAAAGTTCGTTTTTTGTTTTGATTGGTTTATAAATGTAGGAATTGTTTAGGAAATATGGACAGACATTTTTTTGGCAGTCACCTTCTATGTGTATACATTGTTGGCCAACTGTTAAAATATTCCTAGCCCAAAATTTTGGAGAAGAAAAAAAAATGTGGTGTTTTGCAGTTTCTTCATGTATGGTATTGGTTGCATATGCTCAAAACATTTCCTCAGAATTCAGATTCTTAATGAAAAAAGCAAGAAATAATGTACAATATAGGGACAGTTGTGAAAGGAGTGAAACAGGTTTTTCTCTCTCCTGTAAAAGTTTACGTTTCTTGGCTTAATACATATAAAGAGCTTGCCAATGAATGAGTCTGTGCGTCTGTTCTTGCTTGGATCGTGGACCTTCTGTTACATTCTGTTGTTGTGTCCTTTCCCCAGGGCTATCTGAGACTGAGGGAGCCCAACAGCGCCGGCCCCACACTGGAGAAGGCCAAGGCCGCCAACGACGGGAAGATAATTATCCACGACACAGAGATTGAGACGAGGGTGGTGGAAGGTGAGTGCTAGAGGAGGCAGTTGTCCTTATTTTATCATGATGGATTATAGTGGACACAGCTAGTAGCTTACATTTTTAACATACAGTTGAACCTAACTAACCTATAGCCGTCCGTGTGTGCTGCCATGCGTTAACTTACCTTACTTTTACTTTACTTTTCCAGTCCAGCGGCCATTTGGGTTCTAGCCCTTTGATCTGTCGATATGGCAAAGAATTTACAGCCCCCGCGGGTTAAAAAAGATATATGACATGACACAGTGGAATCGGGCGCTTGTCAAATTTTGTGCATTTGGAGTAATTGGTATCATCTTAAAAGTTATTCATTTGCCTTGCTTTTGATGAAAAAAATATCCATTTATCTTAAATGGAAGTCGAGATATTTGCTATTGAAGGAGGTGGGGTTGCCTGGTTTCAGAATATAAATGTGAGGCCGCGGGGTGAAATCACGGGCTCGTGAAAATAATGAAATCCAAGAAATTGGAATTTTTCAGCAACTTTGGACATTTTCAAATTATTATTTTTTTGGATTGGACTGAAATTGCTCGATTCTGCTGTAATATGGCCATGCCTGGTGTATACCATGTGTGCTTGTCTTATCTCTTAACCCGGAGTTTTTTCCTCCGTTTCCAGGAGTTTTTCCTACAGTCACCGTAACCTCGTGCACTATCTATCTCATTATGACCCTCAAAGTTTGCCTCCAATTTCCAAATGGCGGAAACAAAGGCTTTGTCTGTACTAAAATAACCTGGTCCGAGAATAGTTGTGAAAAACAAGCAAAAACTAGCACTTAAATGAAACAAGACAGTTGTCTCTAGTATCGGACGCTCTGATGGGGGAAAAGGGTTATTACCGCCAGACACTTCCAGCATCCGATGAGTTTAAAGTAGAGTAAAACCAAAATTTTCATCAGCTTTAAGTTACATTAAAAGACCGCAAGAAAACGGGTTGCGGTTTCTTCGTATTTCAACCTTTTTTTTTTACCTGTCCATGCACCGGACAGGGTTCGTACGGGTCTTTGAAAACTGGAAAACACTTTGAATTTTGTTTTTATTTTCCAGGGCAAGGAAAAGTCTTGGAAAAATAAAACTTAACTAGATCTATTGTAAAAATATTTCCTCGCAGTTGAGAAGGCCTCGAGTTTCCACATTCTGAAGTGCACCATAATGTATTTTTGCCGCTGAACGAACATTTTTCTGCGGAAATGACACCTCATATGTCTTGGAAAAAAGAAATCTGGTTTTGAAAACTCTTGGAAAAGTTTTGGGGAAAAGAAAAACTCCTTCTTATTATGAACCCTGAATGGGGGCTTGGTGTGCAGCAAGGAGGGGGTGGAACGTGCACACAAACGTGGCCGGGGTGACTGTGACAGGTGGTTTGACGAGACTTTTTCGTTTTTTCTTTCAGGTGACGAGGAAGTGGAGTACTGGACGAGAATGTTCAAGGACATCGCGGAGAAAAACAGCAAAAACAGACGTGGGGGTCGTAGCGGAGGTCGTGGTGGGCGTGGCGGGTACTCGAGGGGCGGACGTCGCAATAGGGGAGGACCTCAGGTATGTCCGTACGGCTCAGCTGTTTGGTGTGTGTGTGTGTGTGGTTTGGTTTGTGTGTGTGTGTGTGTGTGTGTTATTCCATTTTTGTCAGCACAAGCCTATTTGTTGATAATAAGAATTGTATTTATTTCTTTGTTCTGAAATCAAAGTGGGGGCTCTTATGGTCTAGAGGTTAGGGTGTTCGCCTCCTCTCATTCAATAGTTCCTGGGTTCGAATCTGGATAGCGACAGAAACCTTTTGCTTTCACCTCCTTTCCTGCTCTCTAACGATGTTCTTTCATCTGCTTTGATCTCCACTTTCTGCCCACACCTTCTGACCTCCTTTACCCCCTCCTCTGGGCTCCCATGGGTCTCAATATTCCGTTAGTGGTTTCGTTACCGCCATTTCCTCCGCTAAACTC